TTTATGGGAGGATCACGCTTCCATGGCTACTAATATTGATAGCTGTTTACTGCCTCTTAAGCACGCTCACTATGCCTCAAATGCTGTTTGCTGGGATCCAACAGTGAAAAGGAACGATCACCCTTCAGTTCAGGCTTATGAGCTTCCCAAGCTTGACCATTGTGTAATACAACCACAATTGAGCCCAACATTTCTGTTGCTAAGTGAGACAGTCGTTAAGTGGGTTTTGCCCCATTTTACAACCTTTCTAGGCACAGTTATTAAGCAAATCTCTGCACTTGTTAAGTTGCAGTTGTAAAGTGAATTAATTAATTAATTAATTAATTAATTAATTAATTTATGTAATTTATATGCCGCCCTTCTCCCGAAGGACTTAGGGCGGCTTACAAGAAAGAACAAAAAAATTACATAAGCATCAAAGTCAATTTAAAATTAGTTAAAATTAATTAAAAATTAAAAATGTAATTAAAATTATTAAAAATCACCCCTACGGATTCAGATCATTTGGTGGAAAAGCCACGTCTTCAATTCGCAGCGGAAGGAGAGGAGGTCAGGGGCTGTCCTGAGGCTGGTGGGCAGCCCATTCCAGAGGGTTGGCGCTCCCACAGAGAACGCTCTCCCCCTGGGGGCCACCAGTCGACATTGTCTGGCTGACGGCACCCTGAGGAGGCCTGCTCTGTGTGAGCGCACCGGACGATGGCAGGATGGCAGGAGATGATCCTGCAAATACCCCGGGCCTAAGCCAGTGGTTTTCCCACTGATTTTGCTTGTCAGAAGGTTGCAAAAAGTGATCACATAACTCCAGGATGCTGCAACTGTCATAAATATGAATCAGCTGCCAAGCATCCAAATTTTAGCCACTGACCATCAAGTTGCTACAACAGCTTTAAGTGTGGAAAATAGCTATGGGTCACTTTTTTCAGGGCTGTTGTAACTCTGAACAATCACTAAATGAATGGACTACTTGGACCAGACTGGACCAAATAGGTCCATTGTCTAATCCAGGAAAGCTTTTCTTATGTTTGCATATTTTTAACGTCAAAAGCAGGTTAGTGTTTTGTTGATTGCTGACCTACATGTGACATGGGTTTTACATGTATTTTTTTCAGTCCTGAGAAGTCTCAAGATCCAGACATTTGGAAGTTTAAGTCCACAAGTCTTAAAGCTTCCAAGAAACTCGGATTTATTATTAATCATATTTTAGAATTTAGAATAATGTAATTATTATGTTTCTTCACTTCATGGACTAACACTTACATAATGCTGTGACAGTCCTTGTTTCAGAGCACTAACTCTCAAGAGCTAGACATACCTTTCTGGAATCATGCATAAAACATTTGACTGGGATTGGGACACCCATATTCAGGTCCCTTCTCACCATTGATAAATAATTGGGTTATTTTTGGCTAGTCATACCCTCTCGTACTGTACAAAGTAGTGTTACAAGAATAAAATGAAGAGAAATCCCATGTAATCCATCTTGAGTTCCTGGAGACAATAATTTCTGACATATAAACCATATTTAGGCAGATGGAACAAATTATATAGATTTTTTTTTTTTTGAGTCAACATGAACGTCAAACATTGTGCATACTGGATTGTCTTTGAAACCAACATGTCACCACCTACATTTAATGCTCACACCAGTAAACCAACTGGATAAAAACACACATTGAAAGTATGTTGTGGAATAACTTTTCAGTCAGGTTACTTTGCCAAGTAATTCGATTGTTTGGGTCATCTACAGCAGTGACTTTGTAAATTCAAAGTCAGGTGAGAATACTGGCCTTTTCTCTTCTGAGATAAAAACAAATGGAAATTAGCCAGTAATTCTATACTTGCTTACTTTGGAGAAAATCGCATTGAGTTCAGCTGGTTCCCTTATGAATAGACAGAAGCAGCTGTTAGGTACAAAGTACTCCTTGTGTAATGCCTAGTTTTCCCCGTAGAAATTCTAGCATTTCAGATGCAAAATGAAGAGCATGGCCAAATGAACTCTAAGTAGGACAACTGGACTCAATTCACACAGCAGGTTCTGGAATATCATGAAAGGGAAGCAAAGTATTAATCACTGTATTCACTCTTAATGTGCATTAAAAAAAATCTTATGCTGCTGGAAGTTCATAAAGCCATTATGTAAATGATCAGCAATAATTTTACAGTGAGATTATTTCATTGTGTTCAATTGAGCATAAAGAATATAAAAAATACCAAATACAGTACACTCAAATTTCATGTTAAAATCCACCCACATAGCCATATTATGGTGGAAATTCAACTTTGTGGAATATGGGAATAAGGATATTGTGATAAATTGCATCTTTTGTCATCCTAGAACTGTTAAATGAGCTCTTTCTCTTGCCTATAGGAAACCCAGGCCTGTACAGAGAGGCTGATACTTGTGGGGGATTCCTGACTGCAATGTTATGTTTGGGGACGAAGGTTTCAATAGCAACCTGGCTGATACTTCACTACAAAGTGTCTTTGGCAGGAAATATAAACAAACAGCCTTTCCTGTATGTCAGCCAAAATTCAGAAATATCATATCAGAAATCATATTACCTTCCTTCGTCTCTCTCTATTCCTGGAAGAGAATCAAGTGCCAATTTCAACTAGTTTTGGGTTTATCCCGCCTCCTTTTGAACAATGTTATGTTTGCCCCAAACAACCTTGGAGCTGGATACTTTGGCCTTCTCCACCAGCCAAATTCACTCCAAAACAGGCAACAAGTCAACAAGAGATTATGTCCACATGCTTCGTCTGTGGATCATCCAGCTAGATGGCTTCTGCGGCTGTCAGTAAGGATAATTTAAGCATATGCCAACAAGAAAGGGCCAATATAAAACCTACAAGATATATTGTGTATTCTAATTTTTTTACTTTGGATGCCCCAGAAATACCTTACTGAGAAACATATAATACAAACTGCTTTCCTTTCTTTCCAGGCACATTTATAGAACAGTGGGGTTATTATGGTTAGTTGAACATCTAATTACAGATTACAGATTAACAGAGTTGGAAGGGACTTTGTAATCATCTAGTCCAATCTCTCCCCCTCCAATCCAAGCAGGAGACCTTACACGATTTCTGACAAATGGCAGTCCAATCTCTTCTTGAAAGTCTCAAGTGATGAAGCTCCCACAACTTCCGAAGGCAAGCTGTTCCATTGGTTGATTGTTCTCACTGCCAGAAAATTTCTCCTTATTTCCAGGTTAAATCTCTCCTTGTTCAGTTTCCATCCATTATTCCTTGTCTGGCCTACAGGTGCTTTGGAAAATAGGTTAACCTTCTCCTCTCTGTGACAGCCCCTCAAATATTGGAAGACTGCTATCATGGCTCCCCGGTCCTTCTTTTCACTAGACTAGCCGTGTCCAGTTCCTGTAACCGTTCTTCACGTTTTAGTCTCCAGTCCCCTAATCATCCTGGTTGCTCTTCTCTGTACTTTTTCTAGAGTCTCAACATCTTTTTTATAGTGTGGTGACCAAAACTGGATGCAGTATTCTAGTGTGGTCTTACTAAGGTTTTATACAATGGTATTACTACCTCACTTGATCTTGATTGTATCAGGGGTGAAATTCAGCTGGTTCTATCCGACTCAGGCGAACCGGTAGCAGCAGCTGTGGGAGGCTCTGCCCATCCATGCGGATGTCATGATATCACTTTTTTGTGATGATTTTAAGCCTCTGTGCATGCACATTTGTGAACCGGTAGGGAAGGTAAGTGAATTTCACCCCTGGATTGTATTCCTCTGTTAATGCAATTTAGGATTGCATTGGCTTTTTTGGCTGCCACTGCACATTGCTGGCTCATATTTAGCTGGTTGTCCACTAAGACGCCAAGCTCCCTCTCACAGTTACTGCTATTAAGCCTGGTTTCACCCAGTCTGTATGTGTACTTTTGGTTTTTCTTGCCTAAGTGTAGGACTTTACTTTTCTTTACATTGAATTTTATTTTATTAGATAGGGCCCAGTGTTCAAGTCTGTCAAGAACCGTCTGGCTCTTGAGAGTATCCTCTAGGGTGTTAGCTATTCCTGTCAGCTTAGCGTCATTTGCAAATTTGGTAAATTCACCTTCTATTTCCCCATCTAAGTCATTTATGAAGATATTGAAGAGTACTGGGCCTAAGTGTACCACACTGCCTACTTCCTCTATGTACACTTAGACCCATTAAGGACTACTCGTTGAGTACGGTTTGTCAGCCAGCTGCGAATCCATCTGGTGGTAATGCTATCTATCCCACTTTTTTCTAGTTTACTAAGAAATAGGTTGTGGTCTACTTTGTCGAATGCCTTGCTGAAGTCTAATTAATCCCTTTTAGTGGGATTAACCATAAAATCAGTATGAGTTCTTTTTTCTTTTGAAATGTATTTCAATAATTGCGTTTCTTTCACTGAGCTAGAATGTCTGCAGGCGCTGGTTAAAAAAGTCAGGATGCTGCTGCAACCATGTAATCAAAACTTTTGTTGTTTTTTTAGGTGTTGCACAGAACAAACAAATGGAGTTTTGATTGCACTATTTGATTGTGTGGGCCACACGTGCGCACATGTACACACACTTACACAGAGCAAACAGTTTGCAGTCAGGTAACAACAAATTGGAAGAAAACAACAAATTGGAAGGGGGAAAAAAAGTAATCACCTCAAGCTTGAACATATTCTGTGAGGTTAAATATGTTAAATTGTATCTTCTAATAATATCAACATGGCAAATCCAAGAATGTGTTAGTACCTAAGTTGTAGTCTTTAATTCTTATATAAGTTCCCTTCAATTGGAACATGTAAATACCATGAAAAGACAGAAGAACTAAACACGTCTTCAGTTAAATTCCTAAACGTATCTATGAAATACTGCATGGACAATCCAAATTATTGGATGGACCAGTTTTTACATTGTCCCGTTTCACATGAACGGATCCAAAGCTGGTTCTGCAGGAACTTGTCACATAATAATCATAAGCAATTAGATCTGCTCCTTATATAGGGTAGGACAGCCACTGACAATTTAACCATTTAAAAAACAGAAACTGCATTTATTAACCTTTGAATGGTAGAAGTACACTCTCAAAATTCAGAAAAAAATAAAGTTAAGTTCATTTACATTCAATAAGAATTCATTATAGTTATTATGTAATTAATAGTACTACTCTCGTTATTGAATTGTTTTTCTGCCTCATTAAAAATAACTGTTTGGTCACTTTAGGAAATTGTTCAGGGTGTGCCTGAAGCTTTTAATGGATAGCTAAGCCTCCGGATTGTGATACCCATGAAAATCCAGCAGGCATCCATGCATGCCAGAATTTCAAAAAAATCAGTATGCATATTGAAATTAGCATTCTCTCTTTAGAACAAGCATTTTGTATGTTCAGTGATAATCTACCTGTAAACAAACAGGCTTTATATAAGAACTGTTTGTACATATGTATATGTTTGTGTGCACCTACACATATTTATATATGTATACAGAAGAAAAACTGAGATGTGCACATCAAATCAATAGAAATCTATGTTTGTCTTATTTGACAGGTGATAAAATATAGTGAATTGCCCTGCAAAATAATCCTAAAACAAAATGAATTATATGAGTGCTGTGCTTCTAATCTGCAAGCCGTGAAAAATAGAGGAAAATGCAAAAGAAAATTCTTGTTTAAATACAATCCACATAATATTTAACACATCTTTTAACTCTTCCAGATTTAATGTTACAGGTTATATTGCATAATAAGAAATATTTTCTATTAGAATATATCCAGAATTTAATTATGATGTGTGTTAAGAAAACAAAACTATTTTTTGACAATTGAACAATCTCTATTTCAAACGGAAATGGAAAAGATGGTGGGGAAACACACTAAAACCAAGATGCATAGGCAGGAGGGAAAACTAGCAGAGTTCTGCAAATACTGTATGTAGGTATAAAGTTGATATAAGAGTTCCCACATGTAAAGTCTCTATGACACAAATGGAAATGAAGCAATGGAGCTGGTGTCATTCCCCCCTCCCCCCCCAAAAAAATTCAAGCGTCAGGTATAAAAAAAATCTCTTCCATGGGCCTAAGGAAATCTTTAGAAGTCATCTCATATTTGGCAATTTAGATATTCTGATCCAAAGCTTAGTTAACTTCAATAAGCAAGGGAATGTGTCTAGGATTTTGATCATTCCAAATGTAATTCTCTTCCATAAAGATCGTATTCTTTGAAGAGGATAAATTCCGTTAAAATTGGGGGGAGAGGAAGATTCTTCACGGATGGAGTCGTCTCTCTTCTCACTAATCCTATATATTTACGTATTTTCAGGCGGCACAAATGTTTTAGTGGACGAGGATTCTCTGAAAGATACAAAGGAAAGAAATGGAATGGAAAATAGGTCTGATTAATTTAGCACTGAAGTATCATACAGTGGGCGGGAACCTTAGAGATAATTTGGTCCAATGCCTTACTCAGTGCAGGATACATTAGAGCATGACCATCCATCCAGCCCATTTGAAGACCTCCACTGAAACCCAACTGACCATGTCATATGGCAGCCTGTTTCCCTGGCTAACAGCTCATACAACCAGGAAGGTTCCCCTGATGTCTATTTGTATCTACTTTTTGAATTCACTGGTTCAAGTCTTGATCATTGGAGCAAGAGAGAATATTTTTAATTTCTCTTTCATGTGACTTCATATAGTTGATGCTATTATATCCCCCTTTAGTTGTCTTGTAATTACACCTGATTTCCAGAACTTTGTAGCTTCCCTTTGCTCCAATTTTCAGTGTTCTTTTTTAACTATAATGCCCAGAACTAGAAACAGCACTTCAAATGAAATATGAAAAGTGCAATATAGAATGGAATATAAGTTCCCATGATCTGAACTCTTTGGTCCTATTAATGCATCCCTAAGACAGAGTTCACCTTTTTACAGTTGCATTATACTCCTGGCTCATATTTAATTTGTGATCAATGGCAGTATCCAAATTCCTTTCACATGTACTTTTGCTTTTCTATCCCAGTGCCTTTCTTGTTTTCTACTGAAATGCAGAATGCTACATTTCTCCCTAACAGACATGGTAAAATCCAGAGGTAAAATCAACATGATGTGATATGTTGACCAAAATGAGACACACTGTTGCCAGCTGCCAACACTGTGTTAAAAAAAAGGTTCTGAGGCACAAATGAGTAGTATTTCACTTTACCATACATTTCAAATTTTATTATTTCTGTGCTGGTATTAGAGAAATGATATCACTTAAATTAGTATTGATTATATCTAGACTGGCTTTCAGATGCTAGAAATCCTACTCAGTATTTCAAATATATCAGTTTGGAAGGATAGCCATTTATTTATGACGCCATCTAAACCAATAATTTAATCCTCATTTATTCACAAGGCTATAAATCCTGTTCATCTAAAGATGGTAAAAAACAGGGCACACTGTTATAATAATAACAAATTATTTGATATCTTCAAACACAAATACGTTTTTCTTTTGTTTTCATAGATTAAACAGCTAGCCTAATTCTAAGCCAACAGTATTCATTTACCTAATATTTGCTGGATTTCTGACCATTCTTCCTGAGTCTCCAAAACAAATTTAAGTTTAGTGCAGAGAGGAACATAATCCATATAATCTATCAAAATGCGGACAATGGGTCCAACTAAATGTTTCATCCAAGGAAGTGTAATAAAGTCACAGAACTGAAAGGAAATACGACCAGTGTTATACGAAATTATTTTCTAAAATGTATTATTATAATATGGTGCAGAATTCACGAATAGATCACATCATAAAACAAGATACATTAATCCAAACATTTATTTAAAAGGCAGGAGAAGCTTGTTAGAATTCTTAAAATATTACAGTGCCATTTCATAGTTTCTGTAGTTCTCTATATCTCTTTGGGAAGAAATTGAAAAGCTATCTTCTGAGCTGAAATACTTGAACTTTACTGGCATATATAATGACTTATAAAACATTAAACATTAAGCTTGTTAATAGAATAAATCACAGACCTCTTCTTTATCTGTATAATACAGCTGAAGTTCATATGACACCTTTTGTTTAAATAGGTAGTCTAATAGTACCTAAATAATGAAATAAATAAATTTGATAGCCAAGATGTAGACTTGCAGCAGTTTTGCAGGGAATCTAAGTGCCCTCTTATACCAGCTAATATAAGTTTTCCATTGGATTAACTTGTTCTTCCTTTCTTCCCACATAGCACTGGGAATATTGCTGGCACTGCTCTATCAATAGTTCTTCCCTTGGCTCCACTCTTTTGAGGAAGAGTAGAAGGGTACATCGAACAGAGCAATGTAATGCCTGCATCTCTAAGCATGCTTATCAGTAGGAGAGACAAGGACACGAACATGTGCCAGTGTTTTCTTTTTACAACAGCTTCTATCCTCATTCTACACTTGGCCTTTGTCATTATACCTAAAAATAGAAGGAGGAATGAGCATTATTCATATAGATCTTAGTCACGATTTTCTTTGGGGGAAGAGATACAATCAAAGTGAAATATCTGAGATTTTAAACCCAACAATAGTCAACCCAACACATTCTCCTTAACAAATGCTGATTAATAATAATATTGAATAGGATTTAAAAAAAAAATATCCTTACGGGGTTATCTTCAATTACACAAGATGTCCAGCCTGGTAATATCTCTTCCTCTGTTGTTGGCCACAAAAAAGAATTTCCAAAGATATTGCCATGCATGCAGTCAAAACAGAGGTCCACATTGTACCCATGGTTAAGCAGCAACCTTAGCATGACTTCATCATTCAAGGCATATTGAATGGCACTGGGAAAATGAGTGTCATTCACAAGGTTAAAATAACAGTTGACATTTGCTCCATAAGAAAGAAGCAACCGTACAATTTCATGGTTGTTTGCTCTCACGGCCACAAGAAGGCAATTGAGAGGATCTTTATTGGGGTCTGCGCCAGCTTGCAATAATATTTCAGTGGAGAGAATGTCATTGTTGGAAACTGCAAAATAAAGTGCCGTTTTCCTTTCATCATCATAACTTTGTGAAATGTGTTCTGCCAGAAGAAAATTGACATCAAACCCATTTTCAATTAGGAGTTCCAGGCACTGTGGATTCTGGCCATCTGCTGCTGAATGGATGGGACTCTGCCCACTTTTCCGGATTGCACTTCTGGATGTAACTGGAATCAGGAATTTCAAGGCCCTGCAAAAATGATGAATTTAATATGGTGGCTAAAATACAGACAATACACAAGTTACAAAGTTAAAGCTTAGCTCTAAGTTATAAAGGCAGGCTATGTGTACTTTTGTGTTCAGAAGAGTCAGGTTCAGTTGCTGATACCTATAGATTATCAGAAAATCTTAGGACTAGGACATTATATAGATAGCTAGATTCCCAATGAAATTGGACACTATTAAATGGCAGTATTTAGCCTACATTCATCTTTGTGTCTTGGCTTGAATTGGTGCACTACCTACTATGGAGACTATAGGCAACTCTACCTGTCTCCCGTGCAACAGTTTTACATGTTCCTGCTCAGATACAGTAATCCACTTATTGCTGCCTTGCCCATTATACCACTCATGGAGACTGGCATTCATAAATCTGATTATCAAAAAGGTTAGCTCTCTTTCTAATCAATAAATTACAATTTAATGTGTTTTATTAGTGCTTTCTGTGTTTTTAATTCTGTGATTGTGTTTTATTGGTCTGTGACTGTAAATAAATCTACTTCCTTCACCTTGCGTTGATGTGATATTTCTATGATGAAAAATAGCTCTATTCTGTAAAGAACCAATTTCCCCATAACAACCTATTGCACTTGAAAGATGTATTGATGACAGTACCAATTTAGTGACAATCATCTGTGAGTCAAAACAATTTCACTCTTAGCCTATAACTTGAAAGCAAGTACCTACACTCTCAATGACTACTAAGTACAATGGTCAGGGGCCATGCAATTTAGCTACCTCAAACTTTTCCAGATTTATAGCATTATCACTACTGCTTAGTGTTAAGAATTTGCCCTTGGTACTCACGCATCCAAGATAATGGAATGACTTGTAAGAAAGAGATCTAGGAATAAAGTTTTGCTCACTAAAACTCTTTTCATTTCAAAATGTTCATTGTCATGAAAGAGCTCAAAAGTAGGAACTAAATTTTGTCACCTAACTTTTGAACATGATTTTCCCCCCTTGTAAATAAATCCGGGGAAATGTTTGATTAGCAATTTAGGAAGCAAGTCTGAACCATTTGTTACCCCTCCTTGAATGATGATGAAACCTAACTTTGGAGATTTCTGATATCAAAACTAGAGAAATATCCAATTCATCATCAAGTTCATCTCAGGAGACAGCAAAACTGCTCCATGTTTTAAAGAAGGAATTAATTTAAACCAGTATTTCTAGATTGAAAACCTAGTGGAAAAAAGTATGTACCTTGTTATCTGTTTCTAACATGCATTTCCTCCTAACTGTTTCTTAGTATTCCCATCTTCACTGTTCTTAATGTCAGAAAGAACCAAATAAACAATAACTGATAGGGAAAGCAGTCAATTTTTTCAGCATTAAATTTTCTTCTCCATTAAATCATTTGTCATAAATAATAAAGACCATAAGCTACCATGCCTGGGGTACATAATTCTGCCTGATAATTAAACTAACACTGACCCAAACCTAAAATTGAAGAAGAAGAATGAATGATACAAAACAAAATAGATCCTTGTATTTTTAAGATAGTTTCCATAAAGTTAATATGCTTCTAACACTAGAAGAACCACTGCAGATGGCCTATAAGTATTGTAGAAAACAATTAGTCAGCATTTAGATGCAAACTCATCTAAGATGCTGGAGGGAAGCAGAATCGGTGAAATTTGTCTTGGTTCATTTTTTTTTTTTTTGGTATACAAGAATATGCATGTTTGTTTACGTAAAGGTAAAGGTTCCCCGTGCACATATGTGCTAGTCGTTCCCGACTCCAGGGGGCAGTGCTCATCTCCATTTCAAAGCTGAAGAGGCAGCGCTGTCCGAAGACGTCTCCATGGCCATGTGGCTGGCATGCCTAAACGCCAAAAGCGCACAGAACGCTGTTACCTTCCCACCAAAGGTGGTCCCTATTTTTCTACTTGCATTTTTACATGCTTTCAAACTGCTAGGTTGGCAGAAGCTGGGACAAGTAACAGGAGCTCACTCCGTTACGCAGCACTAGGGATTCGAACCGCTGAACTGCTGACCTTTCTGATCGACAAGCTCAATATCTTAGCCACTAAGCCACCGCATTTAGATTTACCCAAATTCATGGACATCTTGGGGGGGAGCAAGGGGACGAAATGACAAAGCCCACATATTTACATAAGGAGCAGAGCTTACATTTCAATATCACAATGCAAGTTTCATCATTCTGAAGAGACCTTTGGACCCAGCAGATATTGAGATTCCTACAGATTTCTCCCTCTTGTTTATATTTATAAGATAGCTTTCCAAGAGAAAGGAGAGGAAGAAATTGCTTAAACCTTTCCTTTCAGCATTTGTCCATTCAAAATTGTGCCCCCTACTATTTCACATTCTTTAGGAGAAAAAATTGCAGAGATGTATAGTTTTTTCCTTTTGGAGCTAAGTTATCGGTAGCAAGGTACTTAGGGAGTGTAGAAAGTTAGCACCTATCCCTCTCCAAGAAAAATGAAATATTTTAGGAAACATTAAAAAGGCAGAATATTATATTTCCCTAAATATGCTCTTGGAGACAAAAAGCAGACCCCACCTTTCTTAATAGCCCTCAGCAGATGTCAGCGCTTAAGAGATAAGGAGATAGATAGCTCTATTCATAAACAAATACCCTCACCCAAGATCCAACAAAGGTAGGATTAGCCCTCAGTCACAGTAGGAATTGCCCAAAGCCTCTTCATTGCATCATCTCAGCAGTTCAAACTTCAACCAAGCCGGGAGCTCAGACAACCTCAGCTATGACCCCTACATAACCCCTACAAGGCCCCATGGAAGTCTGACAACCGCCAATAGAATATATGTTCTTGCACAGGAACAGGAAGCTCAAGTGCAAAACCCAAGAGAAGGTATAAATACCCTCCACTCTCAACTCCATGTGGTCAGCTGCACCAAAACCACCCATGTGGTCCTGCTTCATCATTAAACCATCTTTCCAATCAGTCTCCATGTTTCCAGTGTCTTTTCCCCAGCTTGGAACTGAACCAGATGGATATTTCTTCCAACAGGAGAGCTTTAAAAACTTATTCTTTGAATCCAAATATTACTTAGCTTGTGCTTACAGCATCTTGAAATCACTTTCAATTCGGAACAAAAGAGAGTAGCATGTAATTTAAACAGAGGTGGTTCGGACCGGCTTGGGCGAGTAGGTAGCGATGGTGGCGGGCAGTTTGGAGAACCGGTAGCAAAAATCCCTGCCCCCGCCCCCCATGCCCAGCTGAGCTGTGCGATCATCAGAGCCTTTTTTTTCTTTTAAATGGCTCTGACCAGCCAAGCTCTGATGATCCCAGCTGTTGCCTGCTAATCGGTAGCAAAAATCCCTCCCCCTTCCCCCTCAGCTTGCTTACCTTAGCTGCTGGTCGCAACACCTTGCTGTAATCCCTGTAATCGATTGCATCAGCAAGCAACTGTATCTTCCTGCCTGCAATCAAGCCGGCAGAGAGTTGTGGACTTCAACTCCCAGAATTCCTCAGCCAGCAAAGCAAAGCTGGCTGAGGAATTCTGGGAGTTGAAGTCCACAAGTCTTAAAGTTGCCAAGGTTGGAGACCCCTGTTCTATTGGGTAAGTTTTTTTCCCCTTTGGGAGCTTTAAAAAAAATAGTTAATTGGGGTTTTTTTTTAGTTGTTCTTTTTTTTTAGACCTAGCCATTTAAAGTTTAGGAAGTTTTAAATTTAGCTGCTTTTATATAAAAATAAAAATAAAATAAAATAAAATAATATTTGTGCAGCTTTCTGAGATTTTGTGTGTTTTTGTAGTGTTTCACTCTAACTACACAAACACACAAAATCTCACAAAGCTGTATATGGAATTTTGTGTGTCTAGCACAGCTGCTTTTACATTGTGGGTGAGCCAGTTGTGTTGTGTTGTGTTTTGTAGGTTAAAAAAGGGCAAAGAAGTGACATTGACTTGGCCACGCCCACCTGACCAACAAGCCACACCCTCCCAGTTACCTTACCATTAAGCCACGCCCACTAATTAAGCCACGCCCGCAGAACCAGTAGCAAAAAAATTTAGATTTCACCCCTGAATTTAACCCTACCTTAACACGCACAGAGATCCCAACTAATAAACTGGAATACTTGTATCAGTTTTATTTAATTTGATTGTCTGACCAACTGTACTGTTACAAGTAGGTAGACTCGGCAATGAAACTTGGAAAAGTCAGTTACTCTTGCAGTAATGCAATGAGATTATAGAGCGATATATAACCTAAGTAGAACAATCGGATAAATAAATACTAAAACAAATTAAAAAGGCTGCAATTGTAGGTGGGGTTAGGTTAATCAGATTTCTACCTTTAAAAAAAGAAGGCTCTAAATTTAGAATGGTAACCCCTATATCAGAATCCTCTTTTATCATAAGCCAGTTTTTGATCACAAAGTCTAATGTTGAGGCACACTGAGAAAAAAGCTGGGGATGGGGAAGGATTTGTGGACCCAGTAGATTCCAAGACTTAGCCATTCTCTGTCCCAACATTCTGTATCAACCACAAATCAGGAAAAACTTTACTGTAATTTGGGGGGGAGGGCATTTAAGAATGACCATCAGTTACAGAAAGATGCAAGCATGTATGATATTCCTGACCATCTAAAGGCAGCGCACTTTACTGTTCAGCCCTGAAATGCACAATCCTATTTATTTCTTAAAAAAAAAAAAAATAGCAGGATTCAGTGGAATGTATTCTTAGGAAAGTTTGTATACAAATGCAGTCTCAGTTTGAAGGCACCTCCAGGAAAACTCCCTCTTTTTTATTTTTTTGCATATGCTGTTTTATAACCCTTATGTCCATTTATAATGTAAGATAGCTGGATACCTGTGCTTCGCTACGAAATTATTATGATGGGTCTTGACAAATTGACACTTATAGCTTGAAAATTAATGAGTAGTTACGATCAGCCTTTCCTCTCCCCTTCTCTCCCTCAGCCTTGCCCCACAGAAGCCTATCCTATTCTATCCCCCTTCTCTCCCTCAGCCTTGCCCACAGAAACGTCTCCTATCCTATTCTCTTCTCTCCCTCACGCTTGCACCACAGAAGCCTCCCCATCCTATCCCCTTCTCCCCCTCAGCCGTGCCCCAGAATCCTCCCCCATCCTATCCCCTTCCCTCCCTCAGCCTTGCCCTTACAGAATCCTCCCCTATCCTATCCCCTTCTCTCCCTCAGCCTTGCCCCACAGAATCCTGTGGTGAGAAGGGGATAAGTTAGGGGAGGATTCTGTGGGGCAAGGCTGAGGGAGAGAAGGGGAGAGGAGAGGCCAATCATAACTACTCATTAAGTTTCAAGCTTTAAGTGTCAATTTATCAAGCTCCATAGTTTCATAGCGAAGCACAGGTATCCAGCTAGTAATAATATAAGAAATACTAATGATCTGATGGTCATTTCGAAAAATCCTTTCTTAGTGAGCACCTAGAGGCCAAGAGGAACATATGTGGCAAATTTCAAGTTTGTAGGCTTTACGGTTCTGGAGATTACGTGATTATGGCATGAGTGGTTTTCACTTTTATATATATAGATAAATAACAAAACAGTCATCATTCATTATGTAAAGTTGTTGGACGAAGAGATATAAAAAGAACACACTCACAGATAGTGTCCTTCATATGCTGCTCTGTGTATTGGAAGATGCCCTGCCTTATTAGGCAAATTGCCACTTCCCCCGTATTCCAACAGCAAAGTTATACAATCAGGATTGCCACCACCAGCTGCTTCAAAGAGTATTGATGATCCATCATCAGCTGTTATGTTAATATCACCACCTAGTGGTACAAGAAAAAGTAGACTTATGTCTCAATATTTACTTATTCATCACAATTTTGGAAATATATGTACAGTATCATCATGCTCTAATCAATTGCTTATTATCCAAGTTGCAGACAATCCAAGCATTTTTCCTTTGGTTTTCCTATTCTGAAATATTTTATGAATTGCTACAGCCTTACAGCCTCCTGCGAGTCCCTTGGACTGCAAGGCGATCAAACCAGTCAGTCCTAGAGAAGATCAACTCTGACTGCTCTTTAGAAGGCCAGATCCTGAAGATGAAACTCAAATACTTTGGCCACCTAATGAGAAGGAAGGACTCACTGGAGAAGAGCCTAATGCTGGGAAAGATTGAGGGCAAAAGAAGAAAGTGACGGCAGAGAATGAGGTGGCTGGATGGAGTAACTGAAGCAGTAGGCATGAGCTTAAATGGTTTCCGGGGGATGGGAGAGGACAGGAAGGCCTGGAAGAATGTTGTCCATGGGGTCCCGATGGGTAGGACATGACTTCGCAACTAACAATAACAGCAGCAGCAGCCTTACAGAGGAAGGGAAGTGTTTATTCATTGAATCTGCTCACATTAACAAAGTAGTATGAACAGTAACTTCTAGTTACTAGTAAATCTACGCCACAACCCTATGTATTAAATTCAGTGGCTTTGTGATAGTTAATGTAGATGTGGGAACTGTACACATTTCCAAATATATACCTTTCAAAATGTTATTGAATTATAACTCCCACCCAGCCAGTGGGGAAGAAAGATGGGAATTACATTTCAAGAAATAATCCCCTTCTTTTCAATCTATCCCGTTTGATGTTTCTAACTACACTTCTCTTATTGTGACCTTGATAGATGTAAAAAAGAATCAATCTTTAGTAGCCCTTGCCTATGTCATCATAAAAGCCATATAATCAGTTACTGACTTCTTTAATACCCATTGCAGCTTTCCGAAAAGTAGAAAATAAGTGGATTTAAGTAAATCTGAGTTGGGCAGCTAAGCATGTATTTTCAATTGTAAATTGAAATTAAGGAAGATGTTCATAAACACTTTGAAGGCAGTGAAGAACTATTCAATTCTTGTTACAGCCAAAGGTCATATTCCTTGCAGTACAAATATTGTTGTTAACACACCTTTATGAATTAAATACTCCAATACATCACAGTGTCCATATTCAGCAGCCACACCTAAAGGTGTTACTCCGTATCCATCTTTCTGTTGTACATTTCCACCATTCTTCACAAGAAGGGCAACAATATCACTGCAGCCCCGTTTTGCAGCTTCATGCATTGCTGACCATCGTTTAACACATGGTTGGTTGATGACACAATTGTAATCAATCAGAATGGAAACCATTTCATGTGATTTCTGTCTTACAGCTTAAGAGTTAAGACAAAGAAAAGAGAGGGGAAATGTTTAGATCACAGGTGGGTTTCAGCAGGTTCTGACCAGTTCTGGAGAACCGGTAACGGAAATTTTGAGTAGTTTGGAGAACCGGTAGTAAAAATTCTGACTGGCCCCGCCCCCATCTATTCTCTGCCTCCCAAGTTCCAGCTCATCGGGAGAAAATGGGGATTTTGTAGTAACCTTCCCCTGCCACGCCTACCACATCATGCCACGCCCACCAAGCCACGCCCACAGAACCGGTAGTAAAATTAAACCCACCACTGGTTTAGATGTCATATATTTCAAAATAACCCACTGCAATCTCTGTAGAAAAATACTGTATTTTCATGGAATAAAAATAGATGATGACTTTAGCTTAGTTTGTAATGTAGTTCTAATTCAAGCTGTTATTCACATTTATATTTGCATTTGATTTTGATAATAATTAAAAATATTTTAGAATTAAGGATATTTCCTCTGCTTTATTTGCTGAAGAATGTACAACAAATATTCAACTTAACAGACCGTTGAAGGCAGGGGTTCAGCTATTCTCTACTGGCTATTCATCCGAAAAGGATGGCATCTATGCTGATGTCATAATATTATCAACATCTGCTAAATCAAAATTTCATTGTAATTACAAATAAAAAAGAGGGATTAAAAGCATTCAGGAATTGGTGGCATGCAAATAAAGGAAATATATTATTTCCTATTGTCATCATTCTTCAATCCCGGAAACTAAAGGAAACCTAACAGATGCTCCAAATGTTTTTTTTTAAAAAAATTTACAGTGGTTTTAGTGCATAAATTCTGTAAAAAATACAGGGACCAAGAATAATCTGAAAGTGAAAGAAAATGAAACATAATTGAGCAACTGATAATACAGTCTGCTACATTTCTATCTATCCAAGTGGAAATCATCTCAAATGTACTTTCCCCTTCTCTGACTTCGCTTAGCACCTCTTCCTCAGGTGCTGAAGGCTTCCCCTGGAGCTATGCTATCAACACAAAGGGGAAATTAGGCCGCTGCTCAAGAGAATACGCCAGAAGCACAAGAATGACATGAACTTTGGTGTACCCCTTCTGGTGATCAATGGAGGGAGGGGGGCTTATTTACAAAGAGACCTAAGGAAACAGTACATTAAAGAAATTATCATCTGTCATGAGATCAACTTCCATGTGTAAGCAAAGTTATAAAGGCAGGCTATGTGTAGTAGAGCTTAATGAGCTAAACACCAGTAACTCGTATGATTAAAGGTTTGCATAACCAATTTCCAGGTTCTACAGTGTTCAACCTCTGATCCTACAAGCTCTAGCAACAGGCTAAAATCCCCAAAACGATTTACAACATAATTACCAATCAGAAGAGGCGTTTCTCCTTTTCTGTTCATGGTATTTGGCCAAACTCCCTTTGCCAACAAGGTCCTGACATGTTCCACGTGGCCAGATTTGGCTGCCAATGTTAATGGTGTCTCTCCATCACACGTCTTATATTCCCACATACTTTTATAAGATGCTAGGTTGAGTTAAACATAAATTAGGTTTTCAGTGCTGCAATTGTTCTATACATATACTTGCTTTAAGAATTTTTAATACTAGATCATGTTCAATCAAAATCTCATAACACTTGCACTGAATAGATGCTTTTGCCACAATCTAAACTGGCTAAATATAAATTAGTTTGTAACACCTAATGAACCCTCATCACTGAAAGTACATACCGGTAGATGTACCAGTGAACACACCTGAAGCGGAGCTCAAACTTAAATAAGCTTATTGGTGCACTTTTTGGAAACAACCTTGAATTCATTCAGCATCCTAGGTGAACGCTGACTGGACACAACTCTGTATTCTTCAAACGTATTGATTGTAGCTTCAAAGTCTGGGCCAACTTACCATCCAAGATTACTTCAAGTATTTGCTGAATTGGCTGAACAGCAGCTTCATGTAAAGGAAACCAGCCTCTCTCATCAGCCTCATCCAGAGAGTATTTGTATTTTACATAGTTTTGAAGATCAAAGACTACTCCTAAAATAAATAATCTAAGGTGAAATGAAGCAAACATTCAGGACAGGCTACTGTTATCTTTAAAAAGGCAAGAAAGGCTTGTACTAAAGATTAACACATTTTGTAAAACCACAAGCTTTTATTGATAAATATATATGTGAGGTTTTGCTTTGCTCAGGTAGGAGATATACACACCCATGAATATATGGGCAAACAGTTGATCCGGTGGGCTAGATAGCAAAGAAATGAAAAAAACACAATATGTGACAACTCCCAATGAAAACAACTGTAAACAAAACAGGCCCACAATAATACAATTAATTTAACAATGCCTTTTGGCGTATATACCTTCTCTTATGGCAGCTACAAGTTTCTTGTTCTGATCACTAACAGGTACAAACCTATAGAAAAACAAACAAACAAAGCATATATAGAATCTCACATTTTGGGTGCTATTGCTGTAACCTTATCAAACATACCTACCGATATTTTCTTGCTTCTGCAATACTTGTTTCCTTCAAGTCAACCTCAAATTCTGGTGACTTCATGGACACATCCACATAGTTTCTTCAGCAACAATCCAGCATTTTCTTCCAGTCTATCCTACCACCCTGGAATATTAAGGTGGTCCTCCCAACAAAATGCTAATCAGCCTTGCTTAGCTTTTCAAAACCAGCAAAACCAGATGCTATTAGTTAGTTGTGTGTTGTTGTTTTCATAAGTGAATTGGAAAAACTGCATAAGTACTTTAGTTAGAAGTGAATTTAATTGGAATGATTACTATATTTTTTTACAGTCAGATTCATTGTTTCTCCAGTCTTTTTCTTACGTCTCATGTCTTTATTGCCCACCTAAGGTAAGTGATTTGTCCAACTTGAAGACAATGAAGTGCAAATATAAGTTCTTCAGGAATGCTCACTGCTTTCAGAAACCTGGTTTTTTTAAAAAAAACCAATGTTGAATCAGGAAACAAAAATAGCTCAATAAGAATGTTAATTAACACTACGCTCCTTCATTATTTCTTAAAATATCTGTTTTAAATAGATTAGCATCATTGTAAGTCATCAAAGTAGTATAAGTAATAAACACATCTACAAGTTACCACAACTTAAACTCCTGAAAAATGAGTGAATATCCTCATTATGTTCCCAACATTGGCCTTTAAAGCAATAAGTGAAGCACCACATATGAAAAGGCTGAGATACTCAGAGATTAAATCAGAGAAATTCAAAACAGGGTTTGGCCTACCACATCACGTAGTTACCTTGTCTCATGACTGGGAGAAGTCCTTTGCTGATTCTGTCCAGTATTGAGGGACTCCTGGATACTAAACTGAACAGCATATTCAGTGAGATCTTCATCAGACTCCTCATCTCCTTCCATTCTTTTTTATGGTGTTTAGGAGCTGTTCCAAGCCATAAAAAAGATGATGCTAAGTGAAAAATATGCCAAGACATGAGACAAGCACACATTCAGTAAAGTTTAATTTCATTCTTCAGATTAAGCGCGAGAACTGAAGTATAAAAAAATAAAGCAAAACACATTATACTTTAGCATTCATTACATATATTCCATTTTGTCAAGCAGTCAGAAAGTTGCAAAGCACAGAATTTACTCAGAATTGGTTTCCTTTGAAAGGAAGTGAGTGAAAGTTTATTATTTAGCAATATAAAGACTAAGCATCAGCAGAAGCAAAATTTAAATTCATTGAAGTCCACTCTTCCTATGCCGAAGGTTTAAAGCAATGCTTCTCTAAATTTCTGTAATTAATTGCAGCTGTTTGGAAAATGTGAGTACTTCCATGTTTTTTTTTTAAATTATTCTATCGTAATTATTTTTATGAACTCAAGGAGACGAATGCAGGGGTGCTATATAGCAGGTTCTAACAGGTTCTGGAGAACCGGTAGCAGAAATTTTGAGTAGTTCAGAGAACCAGCAATACCACCTCTGGCTGGCCCCAGAGTGGGGTGAGAATGGAGATTTTGCAATATCTTTCCCCCAGGAGTGGGGAAGGAATGGGGATTTTGCAGTATCCTTCCCCTGGAGTGTGGTGGGAATGAAGATTTTGCAATATGGGGCTGCCCTTGAGGACCACTCGGAGGCTTCAGCTGGTGCAAAATGCAGCCGCGCGGGTTGTGATGGGAGAATCCCGATACTCCCATGTTACACCCCTCCTGCACGGTTTGCATTGGCTACCAGTTGCCCTCCGGGTGAGATTCAAGGTGCTGGTGATGACTTATAAAGCCCAACATGGCTTAGGACCAGGATATTTGGCGGACCACTTACAGCCAGCAACGATATCCCATCGCCCAGTTCGCGCCCATAGAGAGGGCCTACTCAGGGTGCCATTGGCTAGACAGTGGTGGCTGGCGGCCCCCAGGGGTAGAGCCTTCTTATTCGGTGCGCCCACCCTCTGGAATCAACTCCCCTTGGAGCTCCGATTAGCTCCTGACCTTCACACCTTCCGCCGGGAATTAAAAACTTGGCTTTTCAAATCCCTTGACCTGGACTGATGATGGGGTTTTAATTGGTTTTAAGGGTTAATTTTAAATTTTTTAGATTTTGGTCTTTATTTTATATTGTGGCTTGTGTTTTATTGTTGTGAGCCGCCCTGAGTTCATTGTGAGATAGGGCAGCATATAAACTGAATTAAATAAATAAATAAATAAATAAATAAATAAATAAATAAATAAATAAATAAATAAATAAATAAATATCCTTCCCCCAGGAATGGGGAGGGAATGGGGATTTTGCAGTATCCTTCCCCTGGAGTGGGATGGGAATGGAGATTTTGCAGTATCTTTCTCCTGCCATGCCCACCAAGCCACGCTCACCAAGCCACACCACACCCACCAAGCCATGCCCACAGAGTAGTAAAAAAATTTGAATTCCAGCACTGGGCGAATGTATCCTAATACTCTGTCCTCTTGCTATTTTCCCCACAACAACCACCCTGTGAAGTGAATTGGGCTGTGACAGAGTGACTGGTCCAAAGTCACTTAAGTGGAACTAAAATTCACAGTTTCCTGGTTTCTATCCTGTGCTGTAACCACTTTATTAAACTGGGTCTTTTTTATACACTTTTGTTTTTAACAATATGAGTGTTAAATGTTTTTCGGTAAATAACAATTAGGGTCTCATCTGTACAGGTAGTCCTTGTTTAACAGTCCTAATTGGGACTGGAATTTCCATTGCTAAATGTTTGCCAGACCAGGTTTCACCACCCTGCCATGCCCACCTGCACTTCCAAGTCCTCCCCCTGCCTATCTCAGCTATCTCTGCCCTTTTGGACCCCCTACACTCTGGTGCTCCGCTTCCAGCTGACCTTCACAATCTTCTTCCTCTTACTGCTGACAAAGTACATCTGTTGTGGCCCGCCAGTGGCCTGCGCGGATCATGGCTGATCCCAACAACGAGGAGGCTGGTGTGGTGTCGCGCCAGCAGCCTGCACAGCTGGCGCTCATGTCGGACAACGAGGAGGCTGAAGAGGATGTGCTGCCAGAGGCAGAGACTCAAGCCAGGGCCTTCAGAACCTCCAGAGGCTCCTTCAAGTGGAGATAGAAAGTGGGGAAGCCTCTCCTCAATGCTTCAGCAGGCAGGGCTGCCAAAAGGCAGGAGTGGCTACTCAGGAGGAGGAAGTCTCCTCGAGAGTAAGGCTTGAGGATAATTGGCCACTCCCTTAGCCTATTTAAGTCACACGCAGTTAGTAATTTCTTGCTGGAAACAACGTGTAATTATTAAAGAGCAGTTTGGATAGTGAGTGTCTTATCGTATCTTGTTTTCTGGGCTGGTTGCCAACCTTTGCCGGACTTTGTTCATTCTTGGTATGTTATAACTTTGATAAGGACCGTTGGTGTGTATCACAATCCTTGGGAATCCGGACCTGGGGCAGAACAGCACAAGAGATGCTGCATTGATCGAAGACATTATAGCAGCATGTGTTAGGGAAGCATGGATTGGGGAAGGTGCACAAGAGGATCTGCGTGGGCCAAGTGAGATGCTGTATGGTTTGATGGAAATTATACTTAATTCATAAGGTAGCTGAACATTAAAAATTAGACAAATGTATCTAGGCAGCTAGGTAATTTCAAGCTCCAGCTCAGTACATTATAATGCAGAAAAAGATGAATGTAAACTAAAAATTCATGAACCCAGTAGTATATAGTATACGTATTTTGTGTGTATGTACCTATGTATGTATGTTTATAAAATTAAACAGAAAACACGTATTTGTGACACTAAAATACCATATATTTAGTAATATATAGTAACTAACTTACATAAGTTAGGTACATAAATAAAACCCTAACCCTAACCCTGACCAGAGAGCAAAATATTAGGGTATTCTTACTTCCTAACTGAAATGCTCCTCCAGCAGATTTCTTTTGCCAGCATCTCTATTTTTTCATGTTTTTTCAATTAACATGCCATATATTGTTGCTTTGAGCACATTCAGTCTTGTGCTAAGCCAAGCTAAGAAATCCAATTTATTCATTTAAAACTTGGATGGGTTAGGGTTTTATTTATTTATTTTAAACATTTTTTCCTTACATATCTTGGGTTTATCCTACTTTATTTTTTGGTATCCCCATTAATTCTCACTGGCCTGTTTTGCTAAATTACAGTTAGCTTTTATTGTTTACATTAACCCTTCTAGAAAGGAATAATAATATTGAATGAATTAATTCTATAATAGATTACATAGCCACCAAATCTAGTTTGTAATAAATTATTCTAAAACTATCATGCACTGTGTAGAGTGATCCATTTTGCACATATCTGCATATGTTCTCTTTTAAATTCAAATTGTGAAAAGTAATTACTTGCTAATTAATACACAGAAGAGCTTTGAGGCAATGATGTTCTTACAGAACTTATTTAAAAAAACAAAAACAAAACAAAAAAATTTTATGAAAAGGGTTTTTTTTAAGCTTAATTTTAGCACAGGGGCAATAGGGGAAGTTCAGGAAGTATCAGCACTGGCCCAATCAACTCTATCGGATGCTGCATTAGTATTGGACAAAAACTCCATTAATTGAAAACCTGTTCAAGCTGAACTGTTATAAAGCAAAGTAGGGAGGGCACAGATTAATTGGGTATGACCACAGCCAAAGGTTTCCTCTTATAAACTAGAACTACAAACAAGATAAACAAGCACTGAAAAACTATATAAATACCAGATTTTCTCTGCCTTCGTCCAAGCAGGTCTGTTATAGTCTTTTGGAATTTTTTAGCTTCTTCTTCATTAGCAAAATTAAGACCCATCTGACATGTCTGAAAAACAATAATGTTCATGATCAACCCTAAGACAGGGAATAAAAATATGCAGCTCTTCTGAAACTATATAAACAAAAATCCACTGAACAAAGTAGGCTTCAGATCCCCCCCGCCCCACGTTATTGATCTCATCTGGAATTAGGAATACTTTATTCTTATATTTTTCTATTATAAGCTAAGTAAGCTAAGATTAAACATAAATTTCAAGTAAAAATCAGTCAAGCAGTTCTATCTGAACACTAAAATGTTTGAAAACAATCAATAGAAATATAGACGTCACATAAAATTACTTAATATTTCATAAATTACTTTAACAGATTAGATTTAACATAAAGTAATCACTTTTCCAAATTAACGCCTGAAAATACTTACGTCTCCAGCAAAGGTATGAAAATATGCTCTGGGACTATTATATACAAAGTTATTATATAATTCTTGTTCCCACAATTGTTTTCCTTCCTGCAAGAGTGATGAGGGGGCAGAAGGAGAAGGGAAGACATTGAGACAATAAATTATTGTAAGCAAATATGCATGGATTTATATCTCACCTTTGGACATTCTAAGGTTTTACACTCTTTCTGATGACTTTGCTTCAGATTAAAATTCTATTCTTAAAACATAGAAACTAGCTTAATTTCTTGGTAACCTGTACTTTTGTAGTATAAATCTGAAAATGTGCTACAATTCTAATGTAACTTGTACTGTCTCAGAACCTATTAAAACAAATATGGACAAAATTCAAAGATAGGATATGTACCAGTGTAAACAGACCAGATTTTTCCCCTGAAGTTGTGAAAGCAAAAACTAAGCTATTTATACTTTCAGCAAGAAAATAGTATCTGCAATAGAATATGAAAAACGAAGTGTTGTTTTCTGAACAGCACTCTTTATCCATATTGCTTTAGCAATTAATATTTAAACAATTTGTATTATATGCAACTGCCTATGATGCAACATTTTCATAAGATAAACAATAGAAACATAAACTAAATATGGCAAAAAGTTTTTACCTTTATATCGTATATTCTGATAAAATAGGATCTTTGTGGATTGTCTTTTACAAGGCAAGCTACACCACAGCATTTCTTTGACCACATAGCATTGCGCTCCGCTGCATATATCTGGACGACCACAGAGCACATTGTCTAAAATAAAAATTTTAAAAATACTATGTTAAAATTTAAGTATCATCTTTCCATTGTCTTCTCCATTAGTCACAAATAAAATCTTGCAGAATTCATCTGATGAAAATAGTATTTCCAGGCAGATAATGACACACTCAATTTCTTTGAACGTACTACAAAATGCCACAGGACTCAAAGTAGTAAAATAATGTATTTGAAAAACACTAACATAAAGATACATCAACTCCTCCCAACTTTATCACAATTGTAACTAATAAAGTATTGATTGTTCCAAAAGTTATGTGTACAATGAATATCATCTTATTAGTGTATCCGTTAGTTTATGCACTTTATCAAAGTTTGGCAATTCAGAGTAGATGACAAAACAGAGTCCATTTTGTACATTAATGTATTGACATATATACCTAACATACCTTTGGCTAGGGATACAGATAAAAGCCTATATTCTCTATTAAAATTGGAAAATACAGAGTAAGAAATTAATTCAAAGTATTTTAAACCAAATCCTGCTTGACTTTTTAAAAAACATTGTACAAAATTTGTTATAGAATGGTCTGTGCAGATCTTCATTTGGCTTTGGATCACCAGCAGCTAAGAACTGAACTTATATCAACAAAATCATTAAAAATATTAATAGGCAATTGACATAATCCCCTGGCAGAGTTCTTTTAAAAAAAGGCTTCTGTGAAAACTAGTATTCTTGTTTTAGATTTCTGTTTTTCTGTTAATGTTATATAACCACAGAAAGGCTAGGTAGGATATAAATATTTAAAACGAAGCTTGATAGTCAAATAAAACCAACCTTTTAGGCCATAGAGGAAGATTAATTTAGTAGGACTACAGTACACAATATGGTGTAACCAGTCTTTATTTTGATGTTCTGCATCTGCAACTGGCAGATTTTATATGCAACAAAACTAAATGAGTAGGAACATCCTATAATGAAAAAGTTGACTGGTCTACTTTTTATCCATAAAAAGCAAGCTATAACAACATTTTCTGTTTTAAAAATCTGAAGTGTGCAAATTATAACCTTGGTGTCCAAAATAGAATAAGTAGTTTTCTAGTTTAAATTCCTGCATCTCTTGTGCAGAAGTTATCATAGAGGTTATCAAAATTTAAAAATTCTTGCATGCTACAATGTTTCCTTTTGAAGATATTCTTCTAGATTTTTTCCCCCACAAAGAAAATCTCTTCCTTTAATATTTGAAGGGACAAAGTCATATACTTTCAATATAAACTGCTAGCCAGAAAAAAGGAAGCTCATTTGTGGTATTTCACTCAAAACCACACTATTGCAGGATGTTTCAAACTTTCAGTCTTAACCACAGAGGTCAAATACTATTTTAGTATTGCAGTCTATACAGTGATGCCTCTTTTGACTTTAGAACTGTAACGCAGGAAATAATTTCAAGATGATTTGGCTAAAAGCGTAGAGTGAAAAGCTAGTTTAAGAATATTTCCTGGAGAAAAGCACTTGCTCAAATTACTACCCTGTTTCCCCCAAAATAAGACATCCCCTGATAATAAGTCCAATCGGGCTTTTGAGTGCATGGCAATAAGGCCAAGTGCTTATTCCAGGGTTCAAAAAAATATAAAACAGGGTCTTATTTTTGGGGAAGCATGGTATTCAAGGTTTTTTTCCCCAAAAAATCTTTAAACTCCCCTTTTTTTGCATTCTATAGTACCGTTATGTGTCAGCATATTGGAAAGAAGCCATAGACTAAATACCAGTACATATACACACCCTCATCTTTTTGACCTTCACAAACCTGTAAAGCAAAGCAAAGCTGAAGATCATAAGCAGTCATGATTTCACTTAGCGATTGTTTCACTTAACAACTGAGTTGCCAATCCCAAATGTGGTTGTTAAATGAAGATACCTGCATGTGTTTGTGTGTATTTGTCAACCGTCTGACTAATGGACCCAAAAGAAGTAAACATTCTTGGGAGTTTTGAATTCCCAAGTAAAACTTTATTGGATACATCATTTTGGCACTGAAGAAAGAAAACCAGCTCTGGTTTTCCTGTGCAAAGGCTTGCTTAGTTAAATAATAACTTCCCTTTCTCCCCACTCCTGGGTGTTCACATTGTCCAATATTGAGACATCCTTTTGTTATGGGAATAGTCCACCTCCTTCTCAGGCACCTGCAGTGGTGACCTTGACTCTCACGTTGCATGCAAAAACCTCCATTCCACCCTCCACTCTTCCCCTTCAATTCAATGGCAAGTTGAATAGCAATACAATCCGAAAGGAGCCAAGCAATTCAATCTTGACAGTATTTGTTGAAATGTAGCTTTTTTTTTCTAAAAAATGCCCTGTGAAGCAAGAAGCAATCCCTTGCTTATGATCAGAATTTTTTCAGCATGGTATTCTCAAGAGAGGCTAGGAATCAATTCCCAAATACTATGACCAATGCTCTCATGAACTAGGAATTTTGCAACTCATGATCCAACATATATGGAAGTACTCCTGGCTGTTATTTAAGTAAAGTGTTCTAAAAAAAAATAAAGCCTCACTTGGGTTGAGTTTGATTTGTTGTGACTTAATAGTTTTCCTAACAATAATGGTAGATTTGCCAATGCCTTATTCTATTGTTTTGTGGTTCACAATCTAGCCTACAACTGTAGTATTTCCTAATGGTCTCCCACCTAACTGCTAACCAAATCTGACATTTCTCAGCTTTCTGAGATCAGTGCTGAGACTTAACTAAGTATAGTTTTCTACATAAAGGCAAATAAATCAGTCTAAAGTCATCTGAAAAAGGTGAGCAGTCATCAATATATTAATGACATTAAATAATATATTTCCATCCCCGATTGAGCCAGAGATGATGTGAAAATCTGGTCCAGTTTGTTAAAGACTGAATGGGAAAAACAAACTCAAATTAAATAGTATCAAGATGGGAGTTGCTATTATATCCATACAACATGGGCTACACCTACAACATTGCTCCTGATAAAATGTCTGCATCAGGGGTATCAAACTCACAGCCCCATGAACCAGATGCATCACGTGCTGGCCCCACCCTGCCCGGTTTAGCGAAGGGGGAAAAAGTCCCGATACATCACATGGCACTGCCATGACGATGCGAGTTTAACACCCCTGGTCTGGATGGTATTATCCTTCCTGAAGAAGATGGTCAATGATTTCAGGGTCTTTTTGGATTCACAGTTCCTGCTTCAGCAGCAGGTGGAATCCGTATGTGGGATTCTACTGCAGCTACTGAAGGTATTGCCAGGACGTAATAGCACAGAAACGCAACAGAAAACAAGTAAGCTCAGAGACCACCAATGACCCTTCAGTTAAACAAATTCTGAGGTGAGCAAGAGAGGACTTTGGATTACAATCTGAGATTCTTTTGACTTTGTGCAACTTTTGTGGAAGTATAAAGAAGCCTTTACAGTGTGAGCTCCACCACCTGCAGAGTATAACCATACTCTTCCTGGCTTCTCTGAGCTGTTATATAATGGTTGATTTGGGAGGTAGCCAACACTTTGAGAAAAGATATTGCAAACCTTGAGAGTGGTAATGGAGTACCTTCTCTTGAAGAAGCTGCTTCAGCAGCAGGTGGAATCCATAGCTGGGATTCTACTGCAGCTACTGAAGGTATTGCCAGGAAATAATAGTACAGAAATACAACAATTAGACCAACTGGATTTGAGGAATCACTGTATTGAATGATACATGTAATAGTGAACAGTATGCCCAGTATTAATAGTGGATATGGTCTTGCCAGTTTGATTTAAATGAAAGTATTAAACTTATCATCTCCACCATGATAGCATTTTGTGAATGAGCATGCCTTAAAATAGCAATTTTGTATCTGTGCCAATAAGTTTCTCAAAATTCCAAATATGCTAATACCTAAAAAAATTATACCTCAACTCCCCACCCAGATTGACCACTATCGTGTTAAGGTCTGTAAGGTTTATGTTTTCCCTCAGACACACAGAAACATCCTTAGTATGTTATACATTAAACTATAACCTGACAAGTCAGGAATAAAAAAGTCCCAAGAAGAGGTGGCATATTTCAGTGTTCCAAAAATCGTTCCCAATAACTTCCCTTTTGTATCATAGAACTCAGTGTCAATGTTCTATTTTTTCAGGTTATCTCAGTCTCTAGTCTAATTCTATACAGTTAATAACAGAGAGGCGATAAATGTATTTACAATATTCTTTTTGAATATGAAAATAAACAAAACGTTCAGTTTGATCATCCCTAACCTGGCAATTTTTTCAGTGCACACTATGGAAGAGAAAAGCAAATAGCAGCTACTTTGATAATCAAAGAAATCCTGCACAGTAAATTACTCTTTAAAAGAAAAATGTACAGGAGCTGCAAACCCTTAATTAATAAGTAACACAAGCATGTAAAAGATTAAAAAGAAAACAGAACAGTCTTTAAAACACTGAGGTCACATGGAGTACATATTCTTTTTTTTTTTTTAAACAAAAGTGTTCTATGGAAACATAATGAAATATAAAAAATGTTTCTATTTATATAAAAGCCCAAGTATTAAGAACAAAACGCAAATGTTCTATAGAAACCCAACCTCAAACTATTTAATTTTATTGATAATGAAAATATTATATATTATTGTAGGTCAATTGTTATGGTTAAGTGGCTAGTGGAGCACTGAGACAATGGTCTCGAAAAGAAACTGCCTTGCCTTTTCTTGTAAAACAAGTAAGCGTTATTGCAAATAGTGCTAGATTATCAATCCCAGCCTTGTTTCTACCTGCATCCAATATGCTTGAATGTAAGGCTCATGCAAATAGAGCAAATCATGCAAAAATATCATTATGGCCTGCATATTTAATAAAGAAATATTTTATTATCAACACATTTAAGACACTATCTTAAATACTATATTTATTTAATTCATATGCTGCCTGCCTTACTAATCAAATTCTGGGCTGTTTACAGTGGCATAAAAGAATATAAAAGCATTAAAATTAACAATTAAATAAAGAGCACAAGAGCATGGATGGTC